AGGAGAGATTAAACTTCCGCTAAGATACATTGGGTTGTTTGTTGATAGACCCCTCACCATCGCTCAATTGTAGATAGATCCCTTGTAGTTTTATTGTGGCAGATAGACCCTGAGTAAATTTGTTATCTTTTATACTTAGAGAAATAGAGCTTTTGTACAAATAAACCACCTGAGCACAAAAGCGTCAAAAATTCCACTCTGGAGTCTCTAGCTTTTGGACATATTTGCTAGTCCTATATAATATGTGCGCACAGATTGAATTCTAACCTGAAGAAATCTAGAACTAGTATGTCGTCTTTTCCTGTCACAAGCCAGTCTGTAACAGCTAGTTATGGTTCTAGCAATCAGTTCACTGCCAACTTAAATGCAAACAATTTGGCTAATGAACTAGCCACCTCAGCAGAACAAAGAATGTTGCCTGGATTGACAGCAAACTTACATTATTCTAGCTCTCATATGAACTCATTTCAATATCATTCTGGACACTCAATTTCATTATCTTCACCTGCTAAATCCTCGTCCAAATCATCCTCTATTGCCTCAGAGCTACCTGATAATTTCCTCTCTTTACCCCAAGATCCAGTGCCTGAACAATCTGCATCATTCCAACTCAAAAACCACGAGACAAGATCTCAGGTTGATCCATGTGAGCATAACATTCCAAGTGTTCAAAGTGAAGCTATCAGCTGCAGTCCATCAATTGATTTACCTAGCAAACCAGTTGAGATTTCATCTACAACCGGTTGTGATTGGAAACTGACCTCCTCAAATGAACCCTCGAATAGTAAGGCAAGAGTCTTGGGATGACATAATAACACCTATTGGCAGTAGCCGCTTCTCAAACTTGGGTACTAGTGTTTCAGACTGCAAATCTGAAATAGACAAAGAGTTGTTTTCTGGGTCAAGTTTTGAACAATTATTGGAATCAGTTGTCAGAGAAAGTGCCAATTCATCGACTAGTAACAGTTTAATCTCTCTTAATAATGTTGATTGTACTCAAGGAAACACAAAGCCATCCCCTTTATGTGAATTTAACTTCGACAAGATTATACAACAATTTCACGTGAAGAAATCTGCTACATGCATGAAAAGGTGGATTATAACACATAATTCAGTTAGACATTGTTTTGACAGAGATGTTAAATAAACATTTCAGTTAGACATTGTTTTGACAGAGATGAATTAGATTTCATTTATTTATTCCTTGCATAAAAGACATAGATGTTAAATAAACATTTCAGTTTTCTACAATGTAGAGCTGAATGCACCAACATGTAACACCAGATGCTTATCTATGATTTAGACATGCAATGAATGGCTAAATGATTGATATGTTGTTTCATTGTAGGAAAAGGAATTGAACCGGCCTCCTACAGATGCAGAAGTGTTTCTAGAGACTCGTAAAAAGAAGAAAAAAGCACAACCAGAAAAAACACTAGAAATGATTGATACATTGGAACAACTAACTCAAGAGCTAACTCAGGAACAAACTGAAGGAGAAAATGTAGATGCATGGCATCTTGTCAATAAAAAAGAACATCCTGGACGTGTGCGTCTCCGGGGACGGGCGATCACTCAAAGCATGCTACAAAGCAATAAGGAGAAAGCTATTGATCCATGTGATCAAGTCCCTGAGTCAATTGTTCAAGCAATAACAAAGAAGGTGGTGGCCACTCAACAAGAGGAGATGAAGAGACAACAAGAAGCCCAAGCTACAAGTATGATTCAAACATTTGCAGATATGTTGAGTGAAGTAACTGGACGTCCAGTTAGTCCAAGCTTTGTTGACAGGTTTAAAGCGCGTACTAAACTTCCTGAAGAGGCTGCTAGTGTTCTAGATCATGAAGAAGCAAGTACTTTTACACTTCGACATTTCTTAGCCTTCTTAGCTCTTGAACTGGTTTCTGTAGTGTTTTCTTGACTCGTTTCAGTTACTTCTTCTTTTTCCTCGTTGCTTTCTTCTCGCTCTCCTTTGTGTTCTTCTGCCTCTGATGTGGCTACATTCTGATTTTGCTACAGTAATAATATATCAGTGATTCTAATTGAGCTATTCTCCTTTTAAGTTCTGTCGAAAATAATTCAGCGTTAATCATAAATATCTAGAAAGTCATTTGATTATAGGCTGAATATGAGAAATTTTCATATTAAAACTGGATGTTCTTCTGCATGTTACATATGAAAACCAAAGTCACACCAAATAGCAACATATATCTTTCCATTTAATGTATATTAAAAGAACAAATTGGACTTAAGAGAAGGATTTCTAAATAGCAAAAGATACAATAAACAGAAATTTTGGCTAATTAGAATTTACCATAGATGAAGGATTACTGATGAGATAGATGAGAGCAAGAATATGCTTATATTGACGATATGACAAACTCAAGTTCTCAATATGCTTTAAGCTTTCACGCAAATCTGTTTGAAGTATTATTAATTAGTTTTGATGGATTCAGGGTCTTGTTAACCATAATGACATTTTATTTTTGTTGATATTTTTTTGTCAAATCTTTTGCAAAAAATGGTTATTTGTAGTTCAAAAAATGTTAATGAAAGTCCCATACTTCAATGCAGGAATTGTCATTTGAATGAAAAGCAAAAGGGCTTGTTTGATGGAGACCCTTAGCAATCTGTAGCCACCTATTTTACTCAAATGGAAGGTTTTGATAACAAACTGGAGAAGATTAAGCGTATAATCAGAATGTTAAAGAATGTTAAAGAATGTTAACAAAATATTTGATTGCATAACATGTATGTAGATATGATGTTTAACCATAATGACATTTTATTTTTGTTGATATTTTTTTGTCAAATCTTTTACAGAAAATGGTTATTTGTAGTTCAAAAAATGTTAATGAAAGTCCCATACTTCAATGCAGGAATTGTCATTTGAATGAAAAGCAAAAGGGCTTGTTTGATGGAGACCCTTAGCAATCTGTAGCCACCTATTTTACTCAAATGGAAGGTTTTGATGCAGGTGGGTTATTTCCTTTATGTTAAGCTATTTATTTTGAATAATTGCAATATTTTTTTCCCCAATTTTATTATTTCATGCTATTTCATGCTATTGCATTAGCTTTGTACTTGTAAACTCATAAATTTTATTAGGGGAATTGTTAATACAAACTACTATAATAGAATTTTGTCCAGAATATGTGGGTAACTGAAAGTTTGAAATACAAATATTAAGTAGAGATTGTAGTTTCTAGGTGCGACTAGGAAGACATGACCGAAATTGAGCTTGGATAAATCTGTAAGGAAAGACACGCTAGCATTTATTCCATCACTACATATTTTGCTTGGATAAATCTGTAAGGATAGATTTCAGTACTCTTGCAGGAGGAATCGGTATACTTTATGTCTTGAGAATTTTTTGCTCTTTTCATCACGCTTCTGGTACTCATGGGTCAATATGTTCTCTTAACTTCCTTTTCAAACATCTTTTTTTCCCCAATTTTATTATCATCATTGCAAAAATTATGCTGATTCATGGAAATTTATACAGGTACAGAAATGATGAAAGCCAAGATTGAGATTGATACTGACAGGTTCCTAGTGAGTATTTGACATTGAGGAACAAGTTTTTAGAAACAAATAGAGAATATAGTCTTTGACCGAGAAGTTTCATGTTTTGTAATCAAATGTTGATGTACATTGTTTGAATGTTAGTTCGGTACGATATTTTTTGAGTTGAAATGTTGGTAGTGTGGATTTAATACTTTGTAGTTTTTATACTATACTGATGTATGTTGGCACTTATCATTATGGTTGATTATGCTCAACATAATCACTTTTATATTGTGTATTAAAATTTGATTTGGCCATGTTCTTAAAAAGATTGTCCAGGTAATTGAATACTATATTATTTTGACGTAGGAAACCAAGAACAGGTCCGATTGAGCTGTTGCAATAGCTCGATTAAAACCGTTGCAATAGCTCTATCCAAACTGTTGCGATAACTCAATCCAAACTGTTGCGTTAGGTCTTTTAAAGCTGTTGCAATAGCTCCAACTGTCGCCGTAGCTCTATCAAAACCATAGCTATAGCCTACTAAAACCGTTGAGTTAAATCTTTTAAAACTGTTGCAATAGCTCCAATTGTCGCCGTACCTTTATCAAAACCATACTTATAGCCTACTAAAACCGTTACGTTAGGTCTTTTAAAACTGTTGCAATAGCTCCAACTGTTACCGTAGCTCTATCAAAACCATAGCTTTAGCCTACTAAAACTGTTGCGTTAGGTCTTTTAAAACCGTTGTAATATCTAAAAAAACCGCTGCAGTAGCTTGAAAACCGTCGCAATAGCTTAATCAAAACCGCTGCAATAGCTTAAAAAACGTCGCAATAGCTCAATCAAAACCGTTGCAATGGCTTAAAACCCACTTACCTTTTAAAACCGTTGCGTTAGATGCAGGGGCAACGGTTCAAAAAACCGTCGCAATAGAGTTCAAAATCGTTACGGTAGAGCTAGGGCAACGGCAGCATATGAGGCGCTTTGAGAACCGTCGCACTTGCTCAAGGGCGACGGTTCCATGGCTAGCGCAACAGTTTTGAACCGTTGCGTTAGAGCAAATATGTGGTAGTGTAGGAAGAAGAGTAGCAAGGCTAAAGAGGATGACTCTCTCATGCACGATTTCATTGAGACAATATCATTCTCAATTCAACATCAACACATTATACATTGGAGACCATGGCGAAGGCTCTAATGGCGCATGAGAATGGGTTTTCTGAGGACACATTGGATAAAGTGCTTGATTACTTGTATAACCATGAATCAGATTCTAGGAGGTTGATCATCAAATCAAAAATGCTCAAAAGCTATTTATAGAGAAGATTATCAATGAGCAAGGATTCTGGGAGGTCTTATTTGGGTTTGACTTTTGAAAACTTGATATTTTGAGCTACTATAATTTGTTGCTGGTTCATTCAGCTTTTGAATTTTTGCTTCTTGTGTTATTGCTTGGTTGTTACTGGGATGGATATATGTTCTTCTGTCTCTTAACTCATATTTTATATGAAAGGTTTGGTTATCACTTGATATCTTATTCTGTTTGATTAATCATGCATCCATCTTTACTTGTGGATTTATGTTGTTGAATGGCTGGTGCTTATATTGTATAGCAAATTTTAATGCATAAATTGAGTGGTATGATGCGGGTTTTAAGTGAAAGGGTTAAGTTTGCTTTTACATTCGTTTTACTATTAGCAGCAAAAACATATGGTGGGTGATGTGATCATGCGAACAAGACTAGATTATAAAGTTAATTAACTTAATTGCAAGCTATTTGTGTTTTGGTTTAGTTTTTTTGGCCTCGTGTATTGTTTTTTTGCAAGTCTATAGTCTATATGTATGATCTAATTTATGCTTGCCTTCCTCTGAATATAGTTTGTAAGAAAGTTTGTTCTTTTGCCTTTTTATGAGTAGATGCATTAATTTTATTTTGCTTTGTGTTCCTTATGATTAACAGGGCTCCTTTTCGTTTTGTCGTAGATATCATACTCTCATGGAACTACGTTTAAGTCCTTCATTGTGTTTTGCATATGTTGTTATCCTGGAATTACTATTGCCTAGTCATTGCTAGTGAACAAATTAATGATACAATTGTTTGTGCATTTCTTAAAAAATACCATGTTTGTTTGTTTAGTTTGATTCAAAATGTAACTCATCATTTCATACAAATAAATTTTACAATTTATGAAACTGTTTCAGATTCTTCCAGATGTCAGCTTGTGGTTTCTTTTTCAAGATGACATTATCTTGGTTCATTGATAATCTACCTATTTTGGAAACAATTGCTTGTGTTGTAAAAGGTTATGCTTGATGTTTCTTTCTCAACTTTTTTTCGGGGAAATTTCATTTGGCAGACTATTTTTACTAAACTTCTAAAGGATGCATTTGGATTTTGACATGATATGTGAGTTCCATTTCGCTATTGTTCATTTACTGCCTTATATTTAAAGTTACTTGTTTCTTTTCACTTTTTTTTTTCTGTTCTAATACTCCGCCTTCTTCTAGGGTGAGGTTCCAATGTCTCTAGATTAAGCTTAAGCAAGCCCAGATCTTTGATCTAAATACAACATATGTTTAGGTGAAAGAATGTGGTTTTAGCAAGCTTAGCTTTTTGTTATTTTCTTTTTCCCTTGCTTTATCTTCAGCAAAATGCTCCACTTATGATTACCCCAATTGAATGCAATTGTATTTGTTTTTTTGTGGGAGGTAAGTAAGCTTACCAAAGGTTCTTATATTCACCAATTATTATTTTAGTAATCCTAAAACTTGTTTGCTACAACTATGGATTTCTAATTCCAAAATTTGTAATTCTACAATTTGAGTTTGAAACAAACAAAATATTACAAATTATAATATTCAAAATCCTAAAATATTAATGAAACAAACAAAGTTTTAGAAATCTCAACCCATATTAAAAAACCTATGGATTTCAAATCTTATGGTGAAATCCATATCCTAAAATTATAGGATTTGAAACAAACACCCCCAAAAGAGTTTCCGAATAAGCTTTCAAAATTAATCCCACAAAACGCCCATGAACTTCGCAGTGTTTTGCACAAACCCCCCCCTGAATTTTATTATTTTACTATGCCCCTCAAAGACTTTTACTATTCCCCAGGGGGCGTCAAAAAATTAAAGGATTACAACCATTTGGGCAAGGAAAACAACCCGTTTGGGCTAAAGCCGTTGGGGATGAGTTTTCGCCAACGGCCGCCCAAACGGTTGTAACCGTTTGGGTCGTTGCCCAAACGGTTACACCCGTTTGGACGTTATCCCAAACGGGTGAAACTGTTTGGAACCACAATATATGCCAAACGGTTCCAACCGATTGGCCAAAAACTTGTCCAAACAGTTGGAACCGTTTGGACTAACTGTAGGCCAAACGGTTCCAACCATTTGGATGGACAAATTTTTGTCCAAACGGTTGGAACCGTTTGGCATATATTGTGGTCCTAAATGGTTTCACCCGTTTGGACAAGTATTTGGCCAAACGGTTACAACCGTTTGGCCTATTAATTTTAATATTTTTTTCATTTTAGCTATTTTATTTATTTACCTTGCTTACATTTAATATACACATTTTACACAATGTTTACTCAATATCTCACAATGAAATAAAAAAAACATATACATACACAAAAATGTCTCAAGCGGTGCTAAATATTCAATATTATATATAAATACACAATAATTACTCAAAACGTAATATTAGAGATACATGCACAATGATTACTCAATATCTCACAATGAAAATTAAGCATCCAATATTATATAACTGTCTCTAATATCCAAAATGTCTCATACATCAAAATATAAGATAGGAGCGGCCTAATCCATCCATTCAAGGAACAAAATAAATTCCTCGAAGAATATCCTCTTCGGACAAGCCCGAACGCCTTAATTCTGCAAATATCCTAGTAATATTCTCATGTGACAAACCTTGAGCACTTGAAGTAGAAGTGTTAGCAGTTGAAGCAAGACGAGCGAATGTGGTATATCGGTAGCGGGCTGAGGAATTGGAGCCGGACAAGTTTTTCAAATGTGGTATACTTGCAAACAAAGAAACTTCAAAACTGTAAGTCCAACAATTTACCGATTCCCTTGTCTGAAAATAAAGTATTGTCAAATATTATCTAAAATCATTTAAGATGTCCTGAACAATTATGAGATTGTAATCTTCAAGCAATAACCATCATGACAAACAAACACTAAATACATACAAAATAATATTAATGCTACAGTACAAAAGCGCATACCAGTGTCTACCATTTTTCTTCCAGTTTCTCCACAATGGTTCTATTACTGTATTTGGCCCTAGGAAACGGTACCTGAGCCATCAAAGTAAAAGTATTTAAGTATAAAATTAACTAATACAGAAGATCTATAGCCATTATAGATAATGAACTTACTCTGGTAAAGATTTTTAATTATGAGCATCAATAGATAATAAAAGATAGCACTCGTTTCCTAAACAAAAGCAGACTGAAAACTAAGAATACATAGTAACACATATTATAAACTGAAAGCTGACGATAAGAATAACATGTTTTTTCAGAAGGCTCACCAAGGTTAATCCGCCGGTGTGATGCAGCATTAGATGGTTGTTTTGGGTCCATAACCCAAAGAGACCTATCAATTTCATCCATGGTAGACCAAAACTCCTGCAACTTCTCTAAGTGCTATTTGTTGTAAAGACATCATAGTAAACATAATACATAATACATAGTATAAAAATATAGAAGCGAAGAGGTCTACGTTTATCTACCGTTTTGTGTACCTTGTTGAATTGCCTCACAATATCTTTCAATCTGGAGTTTTTTGACCACTCAAACTCAATGATGTAAGGAACATCCTACAACAATATAACAAAGATGGTACAAGTTAGATTAACTGTAAAGGTAGAATTTTAGGGGGATGCATTCTTCAATTCTATAGATAATAATTTAACCTCGATTATGGAAGAGAAGACCTTTTTCCTTTGCATATTAACTATAAGAAACAAGTTGCCAATTTTTCATTAACAACAACAACAACAAAAACAACAAAGTCTTCGTCCAAAAATATTTGGGCTGACTAAATGGATCATACTCCATCATTCAGTTCCATTAAGGGTTATACACTCCACTAACTAATAATTATCATATCCTTCTTAATGATTCATCATATAAAACTAATTGCAATAATGCATGTGGTGGCTCATGGCTAGAATAATTAATCAAACTGACAACGAAAATCGAAGGAGAGCTGTGAGGATAGTTTCTAGGCAACGTGATCTCCAAAGTATGTGCTCTTCCTTTCTTATCTCTGAGGACGAAACAAGAAAAAGGAGATGACATTGAGATTTATGAAGTACAAAATTGAGAACTTATCGCTAAAAAATTAAGAGCAACAATTCTGCAAACACTTCACAGATTATGAATTGAACTGGAAATAGGTAGGAGTAATCAATCAGTCATTCAAGAACTCGATTTTCCTAAAACCCTAGAGAAAATTTTGGGGGAGTCAACCGTAACCTGGGAGTAGATGGAACGGTAGAGAGGCGCTGGCGGCGGTTCCATGATATGCATCAATCATACATTGGCCATGGAAACGCACAATTAATGTAGCACATAAAAATGATTAACCCCTTTCATGAAACAAAATAGAAAGTGCATACTCATCACTTAAAGCAAAAATTATAACTTGAACATTCCAAATTACCTACGTGGAGTTTGTTACTAGTCTTTTCCCCCTTTTTGAAAATTTCGTTTCTTACTTTGCTATTGGCAGTCTCCCCGTATGATTCAGAATTCAGGATATCTCATAACCAAACATGAAACTTCTCCTATCAGCTATATCAACTTAAGAACTTTGGTAAGTACAAAGTAGAATATGTGTGCTTTATATTTTCAATGTTACTAAACACTAATTTCAAATCAATATATGCAACCAAGATAGATGATCAAAGAATGATGACCATTCACAAATATAATTCAGAAATGAAACTTTGAGGATGCTACTTTAGAAGTAACTATGAGATGTGTATAACACGCATTTTCAATACTACTCTAACTTCCATCAAATTGACCAGTCACCCGGTCATACCCAAAGTCAAATCTGCAAACACTTCACTTAGCAAAAAAATGTATAAAAATTCAGCAGTCTATGAGTTACTTCTAAAGTTGGGTAAATATATAACAGAATCCGTTGCAATAGACAACTCTATGAGTTATACTAATCTTCACAATAGAATATTCAGCAGTCTAATTCCTTTAGAAAAATAAGGCTATAATTAGATTGATTGGTATACAGCTAAAAACTTGTACACAGGTACACACGTGATAAAAACAAGTAAAATGGAGGCAAAGATCCCCAGCGATTGTGTCACAGTTATGTGTTAGAAAATATACTTCTAAGGTACAGAAATCAATATTTCGATAACTAGCCACGAACATCTACATGTATGAAGTATCTCAGCAACATGATCATGATCATATCCATTGCATCATCCAACACAATCTTAGTCCTTCTGGTGAAACTAAAGATCCAAAACTATACGCAATAAAATATCCCAAACTAGCTAGTTTCATTAAGATTTAGCACTCAAGATATACTAATCTGTTACATTTGTAGCGAATCAAATAAAAACATATTTTAAAAAATCAGCAAAAAGTTACCTCCTTGGTAACCATACAGAGCCTACCACCGACCATCCCGTGCTCGACGAAAATCCTAGCCGCATAGCCCAAGGAATTCCCTGCACCAACAATAACGAACCTAAGCATTCACACAAAAATTACACTAAAATGAACAGAAAAAAATCAATTTTCGACAAAGTCTTCTGTAAGGAGACTCACTCTCGGTTCTCATTTGTGAAATTTGAAGCGGCGACAACAAACGATCTGCAAAATGATGCAGGAGATGGCAAGCGACAACAAACGATCTGCGAAATTCGGGGATGGAAGCCTCATTGTGCTTCACCGAGCCGTGGCGACGCGCAAGAAAGGCCTTAATGTGCTTGGTAGGAGAAGGAGGGGGGAATGGGCGCTTAAAGATCCTAAGGGGCGTGGAGCTTACGCTCGAATTGGCCGAGGAATTCTTGTAAGAGCTGGGTAAAGGACTGGGGCTGTAAAAGGGGAGCTTTGAGGGGTTTTGTGTATACCTCATCATTCAGTTTCTTAATACAACCGATGGAAACGATGGAAGCAGAGGGGAGGAGGGGGAGGGAGAATTGGCAAACAGGTGAAGAAAACAACCCAGAAATTTAGCCAGGCAGCGACGGGGTCAGATGAGGTGAAGACGAGAGGGTTAGGGATTTGAGAGTGCGGTGATGAAAATTTTGGGGATGTAATTTGGCGCTGGGACGAAAATTTTAGGGATTACTTGGCGCTGGAATGAAAATTTTTGGGGGGAACCAAACGAAAAAGTATTTTATTTTTTTTGAAAAAACTAATAAAAACTCCCAAATGGTTTTAACCGTTTGGGTTGAGATATCCCAAATGGTTAAAAACGTTTGGTCCAGCCGTTTGGAATTTTTCAATAGCCCAAACGGATTTATCCGTTTGGGTTTATTATTCCAAACGGTTATACCTGTTTGGGCTATTTCTACTTGTCCAAACGGTTGTAATAACCGTTTAGACAGAGCTGTTTTGTACTAGTGTATGACCACCTAACCAAGTGAGCAATTTGAGAAATATAATCGGTTCAGTCAATCTATATATACCTCGGTATTGTATGCCTTGGTTTATATGTATTTCTAGTTTACCAAAGTTAATGTGTTGAGTGGGCATTCTTGCGACAATTAAGAAAGAGGTCAAATCATGTCAGTGGACGCCTTGTCGCATGTATGGTTTTTAGACCAAGTGCAATAGGAGGGGAAACGGGTGGTTTTTCCATACAGCAGCTAGGCAAATAGGAAGGGAAATTTCAAAAACTTTCCAAGGGGTGAAATATTTCCCTTCCGTGAAATTGCATGAAATACACTTTATGTGGGGCCCGCCTCCTATATAAGGAAAAGAAAAAAATTTAATGAAGAGTGGTCCAATGGGAGAGGAGCACGCAGCCCCATCAGCCCCCACTAACCCCACGATTTGTGACCAGCCATGCACATGGAAACATGCCCTCTCCCCATTGGACAAACTCTTTTTTGTTTTCACCTAATATTTAAATTGTAGATTTGGAGCATCAATAATTCGAATTAAATTTTTTATACCATTATTTCTAATTTTTCAAGGTCTATAAATAGAGCCTAAATTTGTGTCATTTGGACACAAAAAAAAAAATAAGATTTTACACCCTTTATTTCTTCCTTTTTGCATTTCTCTCTACTTTCTTCTTCCATTGTCAAGCCTTTTTTGCAACCTTCATGGATCCTTCACAAAATTACAATTTGCCCCCAGGTTACAATTTTCCTAATCCTCAAAATCCTAATATGCAACGCCCAGAAAATACTCAGAATACGGGGATGCCGGCAAATTTGGACCCGTTAACTTGTAGAGTAGCTTCATGCCTATATTTTCTTCGTTGGTTAGCTGGGTTACGTGTAGTCAGTAGTGGCTCGATTGAGATTTCTTTAGTCATGCAAGTCGGCTTTGTTTGGAACTTTGGTTCGAGTTGGTCAACATGACTCACTTTGAACTTTGCTTTTGACAAATTTCTTTTTCCTCAAAACTATACTTTTTCACACAATGTAAAACCCCAAAAATTTTTGAATTATATAATTAATATGTGATTAATTATGATATAGATATTTAATATGATAAATATCATTAAATGGTATAATAGTATGGTATCATGTATTTAGAGTATAAATAAGTTCATACATAAAAAAGAAACGAGTCGAAACATGCACAATGGCCAAATTTGAGGAACTGGAAATTCCCAGTCCGGTCGACCGTCGCGGTCAACCGCAGTCCGGTCGACCGTCATGGTCGACCGCGAAACCTGCAGAGGATTTTTCTCTTGTTTTGAGTTGGTTTCGGATTTCTAAAGCCCATATACGTTTTCACTGGTTATATATCAAATTTTCACGATATTTACAGTCTTCTAAGAACCCTAGCAGCCACCAAACACCCCTATAAACCCTAATTTGTTTTTTGAGGAAGATTGGAGGCTTTTGAGCGGGATTTCGTATGGTTTTTTGGCTTTTGGATTGGAGATCCTCTTGGACTTTGCATCTTAAACGTTTTTTTTCTACGAGTCTCAGGCGAGTTTCATCTCTGCTAATCCCCCTCCCAGTTTTTAAAACGTTTTTAAAGAGTTTTTAACATGTTTTGTATAGCCAATTTGACTGGTTTATGAATAAAAGCAATTTCTTTTGTATTATATGTATAAAGACTAGGTCTTTACATGTTAAAAAGATTAAGAATGAGTTTGCAGAAGTTATAAGATCTGGAAAATGATTTAAAACGTTGTTTAATCTAAAAAAAAATATGATTTACCTTTCGTTTTGAGTTTTTATGCATGATTTAGGGTTTGAATATAAATTTCATGCATATAATCATGCGATATATGAGAATTTGTTCCCAAAGGTACTAATCTATTGTTTATATGACTTCATGTAAAATTTCATATTGTTTAGGCAAGATTTAAACCACAAAATCATGAAATGAACACGAGCTGTGTAGAAACATGCACAAACACGAGAAACGGGTCATGGTCGACCGCGCCTTAGAGGCGGTCGACCGCGTGCAA